AAGTTGCCAGTTAAGGGTCGGAGGGGGGGACGAATCTCAGTCTGGAGCGGGGAGGGGACTGTCCCCCAACGGCTCATTTACAGGCAGAATCAGAAGCTCGCCCCCCCCCCCAAAAAAAAAAAACACCGGCGCAAAGCGAGCGAAAGAGGCAGCCGCTTTCCAGATGGATAAACAGAAAAGGGGCGGGAGGGAAGCGGAGGCAGCCTCAGGTCAGGTCGCCCGTCTCTCCTCCGAGCCTCCCAGGGAAAAGGGAGGGAGGGAGGGAGCCGGGAAAGGCTGGGTGGGTGCGGGTGCGGCTGGAGAAGGGAGGTGGGGCTCTCCGGCCCTGGGAGGAGGTAGCGGGGGGGGGAGAGCGTGAAAAAGCAGCGGCGCGATCCACAGTCACCCACCAGCGAAGCCTGGGCTCGGACCTGGCAGGCGCTTGCGCTTCTCTTTCTCCCTCAAGGAACTTGTCGACTTCGCGCCTCTCCCGCCCCCGCAGCGCAACTCCTTTCCCTTGGCGTCCCTTAGCCCGCCGCTGCTCCCTTTCTTTCTGCCCGAGCAGGATCCCCTCAGCGGACGCAAAGGAAGCCTGGAAGAGGTTGGGGAGTGGGGGGGGGGGAGGCGGATCGCGACCTCGCTCCCCGCCCGGGCTGTGCGCGAAGAGTTTGGGAGAGAGGCTCCCCTGCCGGCTCTCGGCACGCCCCCGCCGCGGTCAGACTATTTGTAGGAGTCGCCCAGAGAGGATCCCCGAGCAGTTGGGCGGCCGGAGAAAGGAAATCCAGCCGCCTCCGGGAAGAAAAGCGGGCTTTCGAAGCGGGATGGGGGAGCAGAGGATGATGCCTCTGGGCTGCGGGAAGATGCTGCTGCTTCTGCCTCCGTCCACTCTGCTGCTTGCCCTGGCTGGGCTGCTGGCTTCCTGGGCGCCTCTGGCGCGGGGCGCGGCTTGCGAGCCGGTGCGCATCCCTCTGTGCAAGTCTCTGCCCTGGAATATGACCAAGATGCCCAACCACCTGCACCACAGCACGCAAGCCAACGCCATCCTGGCCATGGAGCAGTTCGAAGGCTTGCTGGGCATCCACTGCAGCCCGGACCTGCTCTTCTTCCTCTGCGCCATGTACGCGCCCATCTGCACCCTCGACTTCCAGCACGAGCCCATCAAGCCTTGCAAGTCAGTCTGCGAGAGGGCCCGGGCCGGTTGTGAACCGGTCCTCGTCAAGTACGGCCACGCCTGGCCGGATAGCCTGGCCTGCGACGAGCTGCCGGTCTACGACCGAGGGGTCTGCATTTCCCCCGAGGCGATCGTCACAGCCGAAGGATCCGGTGAGTCGCCTTCGGTTCCCTCCCCAGCCACCATCCTGGGAGCCCTGGCCCTGCTCCTTCTACTCCTTTCTGACGTTTCCCTTCCATCTCTCTAAGCCTGGCTAGAACTGGGACCTTTTCTAGATATTTTCTGGAGTCTCCCAAGTTCAGAATCGCACATTTTCCTTAAAACTCCTCCACCATCACCTTGGGTAGAGCAGTGGTCACCCATCAGTGGTCCGGCGTGGACCATTGGTGATCCACGGGAAAATTTTGGGGGTCTCCAGAAAAACTATTTGCATTTTTTTTATATTGCACTAAATACTATTTATCTTTTTAAAAGAAATTCATGTTAGTGGTCCACGGGATTTAAAATTATGAATTTAGTGGTCCCTGAGGTCCGAAAGGTTGATGGCCCCTGGCCTAGAGGCCCCTTGGACAAATGAAATTGGGGTGGGGAGGTGGAGAAACCAGAATCACTGTGTTGAGGCGTGTGAACCACTCCACTGAGGAGGAGGGGGGAAGGGGGAAATAAATAGCTCAGGGTTTCTTCTTCCTCAAAGAACCTGTAGAATTTCTCCTCCACTAAACAACCATTGTCTCAAATCTGCTGGCCTTTCCTGTCTTAGCCCACACACCCACACATTCACTGTCAGTCGATCCTTGCCTTCTTTCCTCAATTACCCATCTTTTCCTTGATTGTACATAAACTTTCCCACTTCTTTCATATGTCCAGGTCTTATTGTCTAGATTTGCCCACAATTTAAGCAGCAATATCTTGCTGGGGCAATCCCTTGAGTTCCAACCTTGCCTATCAAACTTTTTGATCTGTGTAAAAAGTAAGCCAATTCCTTCCTAGTCGTTTATAATCCTCTAACCATCCTTGTACCTTTGTGTAGCCATGATGATGCTGATTTATTTTGTAAATCTCTGGTTTGGAAAATGAACTTAATGATGATTAATCTACTTTTCAAATCCTTATCGATCATGCCTGATCCATCTCAACAGAGATGAGGAACCCATGGTCCCCAGATGTTGCTGCCTAATGAGGGTTGGCCTCCACCAGCAATTAAAGCAATTAAGTTCCTTTAATTTTCTTGGATGTATCCCCATTTTCCAGTGTGTAACCATGATAATTTGCTTTATCTGATGTTGGTAAACCCCAATTCCAGCAAACCAGGTCTTCTGACCTGACTCCCTCATTGCCTTTCCATTCCGTAATCATAGCTTCCCCAGCCCCTTAAAAAGCCCGCAACTTCCTCTAATGTCTCATATTCTGTTCTCCATCTGAGTTATTGTAAAACTTGCATAGCAAGAAAAGAAAAGCAATTTTGAAAGAAAAATCTTAGTCTTTGGACTCAGGCAATACTTTCTTTGTGATCAACTAAAACTGTTTGTTAGCTTTTTCTTGGTTCATTCAAAATGTTACAAAAATGTATTTAGGAAGGGAAGGGAAAGGAAGGGGAGATAGTACTAGCTTTAGTGGAGTTGTCTTCTCTAAGTCCCCTGGAAAATAAATAAATCTAGGACACTTGATAATTTGTCCACAATTGTAGACACTGTTGCTTTCCCCTGCTTGCAGGTTTCTTTTCGGTTGGATGGACTTAGGTCTTATATGTGAACTGAATATTTGCTTAACATTGAAGCCAATTGAAGTTTTCTATGAAAAGAAATCTGTAAATGAGCACCTGATTACCAGCTGTGACTCTCACTAGGGATCCTAGTTTTCCTCTGCTGTGTGGCTATCACTAAAATCAGTTTCCCCAAAGTTAATTCTTTGCAAAAAGTTTTTCAACTTTCTAATTTATTATTAGGATCTTGTATGTTTTCTTTTGAATTTAGTTTGGCAGTGTTTCTGGAAAATGCTAGAGCTAAAGATACTAGAAAAATGAAATGGCTGGATTCTGTTTTAAGATTCACCATCTTTCTGCGGCTTCCCTTGCTACTCACACTTCTCCATCTGAAGAAGTTCCATAGATGGAATGGGTTCTACCTGTTTTTCCTTGGATTCTAGTTAAAGCCAGGGAAACTGCATACCTGTGAAGAGGTGACTGCACAATGGAATTAGAATAAAGGCACACATACCTCTTGGCCACTTTGTAAATCAGGTGGCTGCACAAAATTCTCAGCTACACATGCCATTTCACAGATATTGTCTTGTTGTATGTATGTATGTATGTATGTACGTACGTACGTACGTACATTCCATTAAAATAGGGTTTTCCAACCTTGGCAATTTTAGGATGCATGGACAACTGGGAGTTGAAGTCCATGTGTTTTAAAGTTGCCAGAGTTGGAAAATCCTGCATTAGTTAGGATGCAGTTCTAGTCCCACCTTGGTCATGAAACCAGCTGGGTAATCTTGGGCCAGTCACTGTCTCTTAGCCCTAAAAAAAAAGGCAAGAACAAATCACTTCTGAAAATCTTGCCATGAAAAATATAGAGATTAGCCTTGCCAGTTGCTGGAAGTCAGTGGTGACTCAAAAGCACATACACACAAAAAGCATCAGCATCATCAATTTCATCATCACCATCATCGATTATATTTTAAATTGCATGAAAAATATGTTAACACATCCTACCTGGAATTACAGAGCAATGTAAAGGAAATATAAGCATTTTAAATAAAGATGAATGGATAATTGTTCAAAGGGTATAAAGTAGAATATTGCACATGAGTGCATTTATTAAAAAGGAAATAAAACTTCCTTTACATGGTAGAGTTAAATGAACAGGTTTTAATGGTTTCCACTACAAAAATTTATGGGTTACTTAATTTTTTATGAGAGGATGTTTATGCATATAATTCTTGGTTTGCAACCTAATCTTGTGGAAGTGTCTCAGATCTGTGTGCCAATCCCCATAAACCATCTCCATCTTGTCCATTTCCATGTCAACATAATGTTATTCCCTTTGAAAATGGAATAAAGATTAGGAAACAGTTGGCAATTTGTGCTGAGAGGCTATGGGAGTGTTTGAGACTCCCAAGAGAAATGTGTATTGGAATCCAAAGGTAGCTTTTTGTGACCAATTATTAACTTACCATATAGATTTAGTAAGAAAACCAGGAGGGTACTGACCTGTGTCTGCTATAGGTAGAGCCTACCACAATTAAATGACAGATCTGAGAAATTCCATTTGGCAAATCTTGATCAGTGATTTAGGATTGGCTACTCATTGGTATAACTCTTCCCCTTGCATTTCTCCAGTATGTTTAAATTTCTATGATGCAAGATTATAACAAGCAGTCATGAAATCCAGAATACAGAACGTCCCTTAGTGGGGAAAAATTCTCTTTGGTGAGATCCTTCTTATGCTGATAGTCTTTTGGCTGTGAAGCTCACCAGGTGGTGGTATTGGCAGATGACCCTTAAAATTCCTTTACGTCTTGGAGCAATGAAATTAAATGGAAGCCTTCAACTGCAAAGTATACTCAAAACCAAGATTGTTTGTATTAGCTGGCACTGTAGTATGTTTGCTTTGCTTAAGGTTTCTGGGATGCAGTTTCTGGTGTGTCCTGCCATTTCCCAAAATTTCCAATGAAAGGAAACCCTTCCCCTACTGAAAAGGTGGAGAAACTCATAATCTCTCATATACAGGTAGTCCTCAACTTACGGCCACAATTGAGCCCAAAATTTATGTTGCTAGGCGAGACATTTGTTAAGTGAGTTTTGCCTCAGTTTATGACCTTCCTTGACACAGTAAATCATTGCAGTTGTTAAGTTAGTCACTGGATTTTCCATTGGCTTTGCTTGTTCAGGGAGTTGCAAAAGGTGATCACATGATCCCGGGACACTGCAATTTTCATAAATGTGAGCCAGTTGCCAACTGCCTGAATTTTGATCACATCTCCATGCAGATGCTACAAAAGTTGTGTGAAAAATTGGTCATAAATCAATCACTTTTTTCACTGACGTTGTTAACTTTGGTCACTAAATGAACGAGGACTACCTGTATTACTGAATTACAAGCTCTCATCTTGAAAGGCAATGGAAGTTGTTGTTCAACAACATCTGGGGCTCTATAGCAGTGGTCTCCAACCTTGGCAACTTTAAGACTTGTGGACTTCAACTCCCAGAGTTCCTCAAAGCTGGCTGAGGAACTCTGGGAGTTGAAGTCCACAGGTCTTAAAGTTGCCAAGGTTGGAGATCACTGCTTTATAGGATCTACATCCTTAACCTGATGAGGAATTGCTTGAAAGCCACATGAGTTGACAGAGGCTCTGGCAAAAGCATGCATGCCTTTCAAATAAGACAGCTGAGCATAAAGATATATCTATAAGCATAGCAAGGGCCAGCTTGGTCTAGACCGGTGATGGCTAACCTTTTGGTCGTCGCATGCCAAAACACCCATAATGCAATGTACATGCTCCCTGCTCCCTATGCTCCCTGCTTGCGCCACACGCCCGTGCATGTGTTTCCTCCCACGGAAGACCTCCTGCACCAACCTGGAAATCAAAACGGGGTGTGGGGGCACTGCATGAGCCTCCAAAATGCAATGCGAGTGCACTCTGTGCATGCGCGGCAGAGACACAAAGACCAGCTGGCCAGCAGGAAGGTTCATGCGCGGTAGAGCTGAGCTGGGGCGATGGATTGCATACCTGCAGAGAGGGGCACATGCCATAGGTTCGTCATCATGGGTCTAGACTCTAGTGGTTAAGATGCTGGATGAAGAGTGAGGAAATTCAAGTTCTAATCCTGTCTTAGACATAGAAGTTAATTGGTAAAACATGGGCCAGTCATTCTTTCTCATCCCAAGAAAGAAAGCAATGGCAAACTTTTTTTAAAAAATG